AGTTCGATTCCTGATACCAGAAAAAAAAAAAAAAAGAAGTGAGCTACTGGGCCCAATGTACACCCAGAAGCTGTCTTGCAACTCTATCCCTAGTTTGGACTTTTATGCTATGTTTTTAATTTAAGCACATGCTTAGAAGCTATGTCTGGTTATTTGAGTCTTTTGCTTGTCTGAATGCAGCCCTTGGAATTGTTCTGTTGAAGGATTCTCATATTTATGCCTTTTCCATGCCATGCTGAAGTGGAGCCATATGCAGACCTCCCAGGGAGGGAAGAACCCCTTTGTCTGAGGCTCCAGACCCACATGCCATCTCTCTGGGCCTGGTAATGAGAAATCTTCTGTGTGAACTTCGACCACCTGGTGTTTCTGTTTGGTTCTAATAGCTGAGTAATGAAGTCAGTCTAAAGGACTTCCTTTTAAACCCTCAAAGAAAACCAGTTACTTTTGAGCTGAACAGTTCTTGACCACATATAAACATAAGCTGTATGCTGTGAAGTCCTTTCTATCAAAGTGTTTTTATTGCTTTTGTTCCAGCTGTCTTACTTCTCCTTAAAACTAGAAAAAAATACTTCACAGAGTTCTCAATCCTACAGTATGAACAGTTTAACTCCAAAGTTACAGGACGGATTTTCTTAGATAGCTGATAAATGGGCTGATGTCACGTGGGAGTCCTCAGAGAGTTCTGAATAACGTACCATGAGTGCAGGTCTGCCTTTAAAAGGTGTGTTTGCCAAGGCAAGAGCATTAAAGGATTCCACCATCTGTCCCTTGGCCAGGCACCCTCAGGCAGCTGGTCAAACTCTCTCCCAGGTAGACAGTTAATGGGAGCTTACTCCTCAGCTCCTAGAGCGGTGCCCACAGGTCTTCTAAGCGTCGAATCTGCCCCATCTGTTGCTCCAGCCCTACTTTTATTTCTTTTTTTCCTTCCTTTCTTTTTTCTCTCTCTCTTCCTTCTTTCTTTTCTTCCTTCCTTCCTTTTTTGTTTTTCGCACTGGGGATTGAATGCAGGGCCTTTGCACTGAGGTACATCTCCAGCCCATATTTTTTATTTTAAGACTAAGTTACCCAGGTCAGCCTCAAACTTTTGATCTTCCTGCCTCAGCATCCAAGATTGCTGGAATTACAGCTGTGCACCACAGTGCCTGTGCTCCTGTCCTAGTTCTTAAGCTTCTTGGCACCTCAGCTTTGCCTTGCCTGCAGTCTCTGGCCTCATCTTTGCCTGTTAGTTTAGTGCTCAATGCTTCCCCCATGATCTGCCGTTGCCATCTCCTCTGGAAAGTTTATGCTTGTGCTCCTGTATCACAGGAGCTCTCTGCTTCAGCCTTTGCCCAAAGGCCAGTGTGTGTGTGTGTGTGTGCGTGTGTGTGTGTGTGTGTGTGTACCATTTGTGACTCAAGAAAAATATGCTGGCAAACATTTCATCACAAATACTTTTAAGTGGGTCCTAAACAACTCTTGCTGGTTCTGCAACCAGTTAGTTGGCAAATATCTATGACAACTACTAGGTCTACTGCTACACTTGACATTGAGAAGTCACTTTATTCCCTTCAATCCTAAAGAGGCTGTGAGGGCAGCCTGCCTGTAGGCACTGTCTCCCCACACTTGGAAGAGTTGTCTGCACTTATCTCTGGGGTTGGAAGATACACTGTTTTTTCCTCCTTTTCCATGAAGCTGTCAAAAAAGAGGCACCTTCCCAGACAGACAATTTTGTACTTATGTTAGCTGTTAAGAAAATACAATATCATGTTGTGTGTGTGTGTGTGTGTGTGTGTGTGTGTAAACCTCTGGATGAACACATGAGAACATGTAACACTGGTTACCTCTGGACAGGAACTGGGTGATTGGGAGCCAGAGGAATAAGGGAAACATTTCACTGTATATCCTTTCACATGTTTTCAATTTTAAACCATGCAAATAAAGTAGCTATTTAAAGCATAAATCTATTTCTAAATGTTAAATCCTCAAAAAGAGGGACAAGGGAGTGCCGGGATAGGAGGAACTCTGGTTCCTGGCCGTAACACGTACACTTAAGCAAGTTGATGAGAGCATCCAAGTGGAAGTATGGAAAGTGAATCCCAAAGAATTGTAGCACAAAGAAGCACATCTTGGCCTTAGGAATTATATACATAGGGTTTTGCTTTTTCTGACAGGGTGTGTGTGCCAGTGCCTTTGGTCCATAGCTGAGAAGCCCAGCAGATGAGTGGACTGGTGACAGCTGAGCTCAGAGGCTGGGGGAGGCACCTGGGGAGCTCTGGGTGCAGGGCGGCTCAGCGCACAGGGGACGCCCACACTAGCTACTGAGTGATGGCACCCTGGTGAGGTGATGGGTCCTGTGAGGGGCCACCACTAATGAGGGAGTTAAAACTCACAGCATCTCGTCTTGGGCTTTTAACTTCAGGCAGGGTTTAACTTCAGGCAGAAAGCTATTAGGTTTTGGCAGTACTGTCACACTATCTTTCTAAATCAATCTGTTTCCTGAAAATAATAAACTTGTGTTCCCCGCGTAAATCAACATATACAGAAAGCAGTTTTCAGTAGTGGCCAAGTCTCTGTCCGCAGCCTGCTGCTGAGGATCTTCTCATTTTCTCCTGGTGGCAAATGTGCGTGATGCCTCGAGGAATCTGCGGCACAGCCCTGGCTGCCTCAGAACTTTGGTCTCAATTCACCAGATATCAGCTGATGCCAAGTCTCAAGTCAGCCACTGCCGCTACAGCTCTTCAAAACTAAATAAGAAATGGTTAAAAAGATTTTAAACATTTTAACTGATACATAGTAATTGTACATATGTACAGGGTATAGTGTGGCAGGTCGATATATAATGGGTAGCACTGAATTTAAGGTAATTGGTTATCTGTAACTTCAGACACACATCATTGTGTTGGAAGCAAATGTTAAATTTCCTAATTTACGTAATAAACAATTGCTGAATGAAGGTATTGAAGTAGCTTCTGTGTACAATCTTTAAAATATGAGTTGTTGAGGAAAGAAAATACAAGAACTGTTCTATTTGTCATTTTTTTCTTGCAACTCTAAACCATGGGGAACTGGCCAAAGGCAAATCCCTGAGGTAGGCACAACTTTCTAGTGAATTTTAACCAAATGAGCCACCCCCTCTGGGATCGCAAGATGTTGTCAGCGTTTACAAGGAAAGACTTTAATGCAGGACACAATATATAGGGTTATTTTATAATATTCACCCAAAGAGTCAAATCAGAACAGTGCTTGAGATCTGTCCAAGCACTAGAGACCCAAAGATCCAGGCGAGGCAGTGCCTCACAGCATTGCCCTGCACAAGTCCAGCTGAAGACCTAGAGCCCATGGCAATGTCCTCAAAAAATGAGTAAGGATAGGTCTTGTGATTTAAGGGGTTGGTGGGGCTTCCCTTTATGAGTTTGTAGGAGGGTTCAATGAGGAGAGCAAAGCCAGGAACCCAGAGGCACAAGTATCCTTTTACATGGAGAAAGGAGAGGAATTGTTGTCTGGTGGTGGGGGTTGGGCCCCACGGGGTGTATGGGAAGAATCTGGCTGATAGTGCGGAGACCTTGCACCACCCTGCAGGAGGCATCTGCCTAGTACTAGGAGGATGGGAGTGTTGTGAGGGGAGTCAATGGGATTTAGAGACCATGTCACAATAGGTAAGGAACCATGGGCCATAGTTCCCATAAGGGGTGGGTCAGGGATGTGATGCTGTCATTGGGCAGGGTGGGAGTGGTTAGGCTTCACAAGGATGGTAAGCAGTTGTTGGCATGAATCCAGGGATGGGGCGGAAGTGTCCTAGACTCTGGGTTTGAAATGAAGGGAAACGATGGGAGCTTTGAGGAGGCAGGGAAGGAGTCATTAGGGCGGCTGTGAGCCTCGGCTCCATCCCAGGGATGGTCACCCTAAGAGGGGAGTGAGACAGGCAGGGTTGACCACAAACGAGTGTGGGAAAGCGTGCTGACCCAGCTGGCACAAGATTGGCAGTTTTTGAGTGCAACTCATATTCATCATCTCGCAACCATGATTTATGTCAGTAAAGGCATGTCCATCAGTCTTTACTGTACATGAAATATGAGGAAGACTGAATGATGGCAGGGGTCCTGTGATTTATTAATAGGCATATATCTCTTTAAAATATACACTAGATTTAATTAGAAGATCCATGTTGAACACTCAGAAGAGAAGTTCAGTTATATTGGTCTTAGCAGATGTGAAGCACAAGCATAAATTGCTTTTTGATAGCTGTTGTCTCCTGTTCAAGGCAAACAGTTGTAAACTGTTCATCTAACCTTCTGGAGAGAAGGGCAGTCTCCATTTAAGGGGTTTAGAATGAACCTTCAGCAATTTGGAGAAAAACTGGGGTTTTAAGAATCTTAAGAGAAAGAGCTCAGACACTGGCTGACCCAGGAGAGGTCTGACAGAAAGAGAGGAACATGAACTCAGCCTATGTCTTTTGTTCTCACTATTTTGCAGAGGGGGTAGAGGGAGTAGAGGGCAAGGGAGTAAGGTGAAACTGTAGTCTGAACTAGGTGTGTGGCCAGGTGCGGGTTGTGAGAGCCCGGCGGGGAGGGTTAAAGGAGCAGCGTGCAGCCTGGGCAGCCCAAGCCCCACAGCCTGGGCCTGCAGTGGTATGAGCAGCAGCAGCCCTTCAGCAGGTAGCCCAGGGGTGGACTCAAGCCGGGTACAGACCAGTTCACCTACACAGCCAGGCAGCTGCAGTGTGGTGGCAGCAGAGAGGGGTTGGGGTGGCACACAATGGATCAGCTGCGGGGTGCCATGACTGGGGGCACAGTAGTGATTCAGCCAGGGGTGTGGCTCACTGTACATGGGGGTCTAGCAGCGCAGGGCAAGTGCATTTTCCATACCCACGCTGGGCTTGGGTGCACTTGCACAGACAGTGGACTAAGCACCCAGGCCCTGTGGTCCCCGGAGCTGGTTGGACCTTGGCTTCCTTCTACCGGCTATGCAGTGCCGCCAGGGCTGTGAGGGCCATGAGTGGCTCAGGGCAGAGTGGGCCGGCCATGCCAGGTGCAAGTGGGGGCTGCGTGGCTGGGGACCCTCAGCCCAGGACTGGCAAATGGACAGGGTGCCCAGGGTTTGGTGGCCCATGGCCAGGCTCCAGAGGCGGGCATCAAAGCAAACGAAGGTGGAGGGGAGGAGGGTGTTGGTTAAGAAAATGTTGTGCTGCAGTGGCCAGTGGCACTGGGTCCGTGCTGGGCTCCGCACACTCCACACCACGTGAGGCAGAGGCTTCAGCAGGCAGGGAAGAGGGAGCCAGAGACAGAGGAAAAGCCTTAAACGCACAGGGGGTGCTAAAGGCGTGGAGAGGGAAGCGGGAGAAGTCTTAGCCAATCTGAGGCTGGTGCAGAGTATATGGGGTGAGGTCTCTGAAGCCTTTTTAAGACACCGGGGGCTCATGATAGGGCTTGAAGCCCCTTTAAAGAGGGGTACCTGATCCTGGCTTGGACACCATATATGTTAACAGCATAGAGAGAAGAGAGAGCGCCTGAGAAAGCTCTGCAGAAGCAACCATGGCCATTTATCATTCCGTGGGAGCAGGCTGAACGTGGAGAGTGGAGTCAGTGGGAAGCGAGGGAAGAGCAAAAGATTTAAAGGCCAGCGGGGAGGTTGCTGCCTTGAGGAATTTGGGACGGAGATGTGGTTGTTCTTCTCTGAATGGGCAGGGCAGGGCAGGGCAGGGCAAGTGCGGTCACGTTTCTCAGGATGGGTGGCGCAGATGGACCTGGCTTTGTTCTTCTGTGGTTTCCACCATGCCTGCTGATGTGGCCTCGCCTGTCAGACCCGACAGTAGACTTCCTGCTATTCTCTTCTCTTCAGGCCTCTTCGAGCTGCTGGAGATAGTTGCTTATTAGAAAAACTAGAAGAGGGGGCTGGGGATTTAGCTCAGCGGCAAAGCGCCTGCCTGGCAAGCGCAAGGTCGTGAGTTCGGTTCCCGGTACCAGAGAAAAACCAAAAAAAAAAAAAAAAAAAGAAAAACTAGAAGAGTTTCATTTAAGCACAAGGCTAATCCCCTGTTCAGCTTCTGTATAACACCACGCTCAGAAGATTTAACATTTTCACAATACTATTATCTAACTGACAGTCCATATTCAAACTTTCCCAGTTGTTTCAATAATGTTCTTAATACTTGTTTTTCCATCCCGAAGCCAGTCAAGAGTATGTAACACTTTTAGTGTTCATACTCTTTTAGTCTCCCCTAACTCAGGACAGGTTCTAACCTTACCTTTTCTTTCTTTTTCTGCCTTTAGCAACCTTGACATTTTTGTCATTTTTGCAGAGTGACCCTCTGGATTTGTTTTCTCATGATGAGATTCAGGTTGATCATTTTTGGCAGGAATCAGGTAAATGACAACAGTAGGGCACCCTACCAGGAGACACACGGTGTCAGATTGCCTCTATGGTGTTAAGTAACAATTTCTGTGATTGTTAGATGCTGCCCATATGTGTAGCTAAATTTGGGGATCACTAATTAGTCACATGTACTGCCTAGAAATGGGAGTCTTTTCTATAGTATCTTTGAAGGGTGAATATTTTTCTGGAACTATGTTAGTCTAGTAAAGGAGAACTTATAGTCTTCAAGAGTAGAAAGACCCTTCACTTGATTTAGTTAACTTAAAAATATTTCTTCATATTAAAAGAAAAATAGGGACTCAGATATTTGTACACACAGGCACACCACCCAAGTATCCATTTTTGATGAATAGATACATAAACTGTACATGCATACAACATAATATTGTTCAGCTTTATAAAAGAAGTTTATAGCATACAATATGGATGGACCTCAAAAATGTCATAATTATTTGATGTTCCTTGGTTAAGGAAGCCATAAAGAGAAGGTTATATACTGTGTGATCTCACATAAAGGAGGTATGTACCTAAAACATATAAATTCATAGGGATAAACAATAGAATGATAAAAACCAAAGGCTGGGGAGGGAGTGAAGCAGTTATTGTTCAAAGGGCACAAAGTTTCAGTTTGGAAGATGAAATCCATCTGAGACACAAGATGACAATCATTGCACAATGAAAATGTACTTAATGTTACTAAATCGTGTATTTTTAAATGGTCAAAATGATAAATTTTATGTTATAAACATTTTATAACATTAAAAAGCATTTCTATTTATAATTAAGATAAAATTTGCCCCTTGGTAAGTTTCCCTGCTTAGATTTGGCTTAGGAAATATCACAAAATGCACCTTTTCTTCCTTCCCCCTGGTATCCTTTCTACTCTTCAGACTACACATGCATGCCTTCCTGTCTCTCATCCTCCCAGACATGGGAGTGAAAAGGTAGAGTTGAATACAAACTTTATTTCTTCTAAATTCAATGTTCTATTCATTTAAAAGTCAGAACAGCTTAGTACTGCCTTGGGATTGTTTTTTCTTGAGAAAAGTAAAACTAAATTTCTAATACTAAATCAGTCCATACTTTTTGAAGCCCTGTGCTCTCCTCCCTGTTTTCCTTTCAGCCTCCACTCCAGTCCTGTGTCTGCAAAGGATCGTGCACAAGCTGCTTAAAAGCAGGATGTGCTGGTTTATATCAAGCAAACTGTAGAGAATGATCAGGTCTTTTATGTCCTGGAGGCACCAGGACAGACAGGAGAACTTGGTCACCTGGAAACAGCTTGGCATTTCTTAATAGGCTCATGTAACAATTCATGAGCAAAAAGATAGCTCAGCAGCAGCAAATTCACCCCCACCCCCATAAGGCTGGCACTGGAAAGGCTATCAGCTGCCCTCATAGTTCAGCATACTCTTGGCCTCCAGGCAGAAGGCTCACTGTGAGGTGCCTGTGCTCTGTATGTCTCAAAATTTGAGCCAAATGAGCTCATTGTTGCTATTCTGATTCAAGAAAATGAGCTGTGGCCAAGGACCAATCACATCAGTCACTAAGCACAAGGTGAGTCTACCTTGTGTCTCTGTAAGGTGGTGTTCAGTTCTGATGAGTCTGGGGAGGCCCAACTTGCCTAAACATGTTACCCTTGCATGTGCCACCCACACTACCCAGAAGAACAGGCCTAGGGTGGGGAACTGGTTCTCACTACCTGCAGCAGGGCTCAACCTCCTAACCCTTTCTCTAGAGCCTGGAGTCCCCCCTCTACAACTTCCTGTGAAGGTAAAATAGTCCCTCAGGTCTGAAATAAAGGGATGGTTGTTGTCAGTGAAAAAACAACCAAAAATTCAATCTAAAAACAAAATTAGGGGCAGAGAAGGGGTAGTCTCCTTTCCCAAAGATGACAAGGAATGCTAAACCTTTAGCATTCTCTGGACCCAGCCTTATTCTTCCAAAAACCAGAGAAGGGGTCTAGTTCAAGTGAGAGGTCAGGCCTTCAATAGAGAGCTCCAAACATGGGGTTAAAATGGGGGCTTAAGATCCTGAGAGTAAGTTTTTACTCCTCCCAACCTTACTATCCTCTTTTCAACCATCATCCTAGGGTGAGGGTAGCCCTGGTAAGTTGGAAAGTTAAGGCTTTTTACAAAAGAGAAGAAAGTCCACAAGACTTAAGGGAAATGACCCTGGGCACCAGAGATGCATTCTCCCTGGGTCTATCTAAAATACTGAAAGCTTCCCTTCCTGATTCTCTTTACTTGCAAATCATTGTCTGCCTTGGAAGATAGTATTTTTCTTCTTGTGGCAAGCCTCCTACTTATCACTCCCATCCAAGCAACCATCATCCACTCATCTGGAGACTATTTTTGAGCCAAATATGCTTGCTAGAAACTGCTATACTTCAACGTCTGCAGTGCACATGGAAACAAAACAAAACAAAACAAATCTAGTCCTTGGCCTTGGCAATGAGGGTGAAGAATTAAAAGCAGCAGTAATACAGTTAATAGCATTCAGAGGTAAGGGAAGAAGGGAAGAGGGAAGAGCAAAAGATGCGGGGCCCTGTAACCAGGATGTGGTTCCTGTGCTCAGAATTTTGTCTGGATTCGATCATGTACCTATATACCAGTGATGGCAAACTTTTTAGAGATGAGTGTCCAAACTGCAATACAACACCCACTTATTTTTCATAAAATGCCAACAGTACAATTAAACCTGAATACTAAGGTCTTAGGAAAAAAAAAACATATATTAACTTCTTTGGTCTGTAAAGAAACACAAATAATGTAGGTTCACCACCACTGCTATACAGTATACATATTCTGTCCTCTAGAAATTGGTTCAGTGATTCACGCATGAAAAACACTATAAGCAAATATTGTGTCTCTCATGAACTGTAAGTTATCTTTGCTGGTCAGTTATTATCCAAGTAATCTCAAAAGAAGCTGTATTTTTTTTTTTACAAAGAAAGAGAATTGTCACCATGAAAAATACAATAGTTTGAAATTTCCTGAAACTGAAAAATGCAACAGAAATATTAGTCTTTGTAATGAAGGAAATGAAAGAAATGGGAAGGAAGAGGCCACTATGCATTGAAGAAGAAACTGCAAAGCTTCTGCATATATGCAGGAAAATGTGCAGGACTGTTCTGAACATAGGAGAATGTGACCATAACATTCTATACACAGAGACGCTTTAATGGCTTGCAAAGAATAGAATAGAAAGTATCCTGAGAATGAAATGAACAAAGAGCCCTAGGGACATCTCTCAATTATTGTTCTAGTAAATACTATGATGTACTTAAACACCATCTCTCCAGCAACACGGCCCATCATCTTGGAAAACTGAAGGTGATGCCTGTGGGAAGTGCAGAAAGTGCTAGAAAGTCACCTTCCAAAATGGGAGCTCTCCAGCCCCAGAGTACTCCCACTGCCCTGAGCTGATTGACGTCAACGCCCCCATACTGCACTCTGCTAAGGCAAGGGAGAGAAAAGAGGGGGTGACACTGGCAATGAAAGAAACTCTGTTTCAGCCCTGTGGTATTTTTCTGGGGATGCAAGAGCCCTGCCTGAATAGTCATTAGTAGGTGAAACCAAGAGATAAAGGGCAGATAAGTAATTGCAGAAGAATCAACATAGTCCTACCTAAACCCACTGAGGGAACTCAGCACCTCTTAATTTGGACAGCCATACATGGTAGAATTCCACACCTGGAAGTCTAGCACTTGGGAGCTGAGACAGGAAGATCATGAGTTTGAGGACCTTCAGGCTATATAGCAAGTCCTTGTCCCAACAAAACTAAACAAACAAACAAGAAAAAAGGAGGACAACCAAACATGGGTCTCCTGAGATGGTACAGTGTAACCTACCAGATATTCTTGCTGAAAAATAGTTCATTTTACATTTAATCAATCCAGCCTCAGACCCAGGAGGCCTCAGTGACCTGACCAGGTGTGCCTAGGACCACTGCCTGCACTGCCATCATGGGAAGTTGCCTTGGTCTGGGGAAGCCTCCGTGAACTGTCTGGGAACCCAAGACCCCTTGCTCTGCCCCATCCCACCATTGCAGAAAGGACCCTGGGTCCTGGGAAGACTTGGCAAGCTGCTTGGGAGCCTGAGACCCCATGCTCCACCACCCAACACCATCACCAGAAGGACCCTGGGTTCCAGGAAGCCCCAGTTTGCTTTCTAGGAGCACAAAACCCCATGCTCCACCTTCTACCACCATTGCAGGAATGACCCTGAATCCCAGGAAAACTAGAGAGATTTGAAAATGACAAAAAGAAGGAGAAAAATGCAATCTCAGCCCTCCACTCCACCTAGAACAAGTCCAAGAAACATCAACATGGAAGAATGTGGAAGTCACACAACAGAAATTTCTGAAATGACAGCAAATCAAGTAAAGAACTGACTATATCACTCTATATAGGAAATAAGTTCAGAAATAATTGCTCAGATAAAAAAGACAACCATAATAGAAGAATTGCTCACCATATCAAAAGAAGACAGGTAAAAAAGTAGAGAAACACAGAAAAATGATGGAAACTTTGAATGAACAGTATAGGAAAGAATTAGAATGCATGAAACATATTCAAAGAGATATTTAGGTAATTAAAAATTATGTTGAAACCTGGCAAAACCGTTTCAACAAAATGAAAGATAGACTTTCAGGTCTTGAATACAGCATTGCAGCTAGTGATTGTAAAAGGAAACCTCTTAAAAATAACAAGGAACCAGAAAATAACAATTCAGCAGCTGCAAGATGAGGCAAAGCAAAACAATATAAGACCAATACATGTCAACAAAAGCAGGAGGCAACATGAATGACATAAAAAGACTATCTGTAGAAGTAATAGCAGAAAATTTCCCAAGCATGGGAGAAGAACCTGACATGCGGTTAAGTGAGGCATCTAGAACTCCAATTAGCCATACCAAAATAAATCTATGCCCAGACACATAATAATCAAGATCTCAGAAATTCAACAAAAGAACAGACTATTAAAAGCTAT